ATTCCTACATCGGCCAAACATCTCAATTATTGAAATCATGTATTACACTACACAAAAGTGATTTTCGACTTCACCCTGACCGCTGTGCATTAGCCAAACATGTCCATTCCACTGGTCATCACATGGACTATACAAACACTACAATTCTCCACCGTGAGAACAATAAATCTAAAAGAGAGTTCATTGAAATGTCATATTTTTCTTAACGATTTTCCATCAATGTTAAGAGTGACATTAAGAATCTAAGCGATATATACCACTTCTTACTTAAATCAGATACCAAGAACAATACAACATCACAGATAACTAACTTGACTGATATATCTATTAACAACTAACCTACTTTAATAATAATTTTCATTAACTAAAAAAGATAACATTCTCTTGCTTTTCTTAGATACATCTCAATAAGATATTATTATAATAATACATGAACAATATACTAATTAAAAAAGAATTTCAATTAAGAAAATTCTAAACTAATATCTCCCCAGACTGGGATCTAACTTCATCGGTTTTACCAATTTTATTTATTTAGCGTATGGATAATTACAATACGATAAAAGTAGTATTTAGATAGAAGTCGGTTTAGATGGAAAAGACATCAAATTCTTAAAAAACTTGTACTGGAACCAAAAAGCCAGAGTTAGGATCGAAGGTTCCACATCCGCAGAAGTAGAAATTAGGAGGGGAGTTAGACAGGGATGTGTTCTGTCGCCTCTGCTGTTTAATCTTTACTCCGAGTTTCTATTTAAAGAAGCATTGGAGGATTCCAAGGATGGAGTCAAGGTGAATGGCGTAAATATCAACAGTATCAGATACGCCGATGATACAGTGTTAATTGCGGATTCCGACTCAGGTCTACAACGACTCATCGACAAGACCAACTCGACCTGTGAGCAATTTGGTATGAAAATAAACATTAAAAAAACCAAAGTGATGTCAATCCGAAAAAACCAAAACGTACCTCAACCTTGCACAATAAATGGGCACATCTTAGAACAGGTCAATAGATTTAAGTACCTGGGATGTTGGATCGATAGCAGCCTAAATCCTGATCAAGAAATAAGATCGAGAATAGAACAGGCTAGAAAATCCTTCGAAAAAATAAAAAAACTGCTTTGTGATTCTCGAATAAAACTCGAAATTCGACTACGTTTATCAAAATGCTACGTCTGGTCGACTCTTCTATATGCAGTTGAAACGTGGACCCTTAAAACATCAACCGTAAATAAATTGGAGGCCTTTGAAATGTGGATCTACCGGAGAATACTCAAAATTTCATGGACATCGCATACCTCAAACGAAGAAGTGCTGCATAGAATAGGCAAGGAAAGAGAACTTTTTAACACAGTAAAAGTAAGAAAAACATCATACCTAGGCCACATACTGAGAAATAATAAGTACCAATATGCCCAACTTATAGTGAAAGGAAAAATCGAGGGAAAGAGAGGCCTAGGAAGGAAAAGACTATCATGGCTCAGAAACATCCGACAATGGACAGGGCTAAATTTTGAACAGCTAATAAGAACAGCTGAAGATAGAGAAGAGTTTAAAATTGTAGTAGCCAACCTCCATTGAGGAGAGGGCACTTTAAGAAGAAGAAGTATTTAGATAATAATTATGTTCAAATTGGAATTGTAACCAATGGTTTTACCAATGAACCTTAACGACATAAATATTCAAAAGCACTACTTGTAATTGTCAGCGCTTGCGTTCTATGAAAACAGAACCTCACAAGTTCATTTTCAACGTTAACAAAAAAACTTTTGTGCACATAGTAACAAAAAAACACCACTACGTTGTTACTAGCTAAGTTTTGAACATCTTAACTCGACATTTCTAAAATTTACGGTAAGGTAAATGTTTTTTATTATATAATATATGGTAGCTAATTATAATTTATTCTCTTTCAGCCCTGAAGAAGCCAAATTAATTCTCTTTGGCGAAAACGTTCGGCGAAACAATTGATACACATTAAAGTTTTTCTTGCAGATTTCCCCAATATTTAAGAGTTTACTATTTAACTTATATGCAAAGATTAAATTTCTTTTCTATATATATATATATATATATATATATATATATATATATATATATATATATATATATATTGTTATGATATGTAAAATCGATAAAAATATTGGTTTGATCAAAATATTTCAAAGTTCAAAATCATTAAATAATTCAGATAAGTAAGATAATAACCAACAAACATTTCGAGGAAAGAAAGTTTTTAAAATTTTTGGATTACCTGTATTAAACAAAATGTAAGCTATGCATAAATTATTTCTTTTGTTATACTATACTTGAGTGACCCGCATAATTTTAAGTGAAATCCAAAGAACAATTGAACCGGGTTTTCCAAATACATTAACGCAGCGATTAAAGACAATAGAAGAGATTTGGAAAGAGGTTTTTGTTAGTTTTTAAGAATTATAGAAAAATATTATTTGTAAATAAGTTTTAGGAAATTTTATAATTATAGGTAAACATTTGTTTGTTATCGGAATGAAAGAATGGGGAATTGTGACGAGTTTTGATTGGCGGAGATTGAAAAAGGTGGGATAGGTTATCGGAATGAAAGTTTAGCTAGATTTCGGAGTGAGAAAAGATAGTCAGTTGGTTTCCAAGGGTGCAAGGCGAACGGCCGTGATTCTTGGGTAGTTCCCCAGAGGTAGGAAGCAGTAGCAGTGAAAGTTTGTGAGTTTTCGTGTAGTTAGTGAATCTGACAGAAGCTGATCCAGTAAAATATTGTAAGTCATATTTTTCTACTTATATTCCAAGAGTCACTGTTCAGGCCAACGAGAGATTCAGTTTATCGTAAAGAAAAGATATTCCAAGAGTCATTTTTTACTCAGGCCAACGAGAGATTCAGTTTATTGAGAGAAGAAGAAGCTAGCGTAATTTGAACGATTCGTGCATTTGAAGGAGATCATTAAGGACGAGATACTTGCAATAATTTATTGTAAGATTGCGGATTACTTAGGGAGCGGCCACGAGTAAATAGTATAGTCTACAAATAACAAGGATTTGGACCACTCATCATCAGAGAGAGATAGTTTTGTTTTCTGCAGTTTTTCTTTCATTGATAACACAATTTTTACACTTAATTTGGAAAGGATAAAAATATTTTGATTAGGAGAGTTAGAATAGTTTGGGATTTTGAGATTTCAGTTAATATTGTTTGTACCATTAATTTTGATTGTTCACGTACGTAGAACAAAATTTTGAGAATTATTATATGAGATTTTGTTTATTGAAAACTTTTGAGTGTGAATTATTTCATTATTTTTATTTCAATATATAGTGTTAGATCATATGTGTTTTTTATTATTCCGGTATTCTTTGGACCTTACCTTTCACATGTAATAGCATAGATATTGAAGCACGAATTTAACCCTGAGATAAAAGAATTAAAAATTGTGATAGAGTCATAATCATATCATTTAAATAATTTTAATTAATCAAAAAAATTAATTAGCTAATTATTGCTTGGCGCACCAAGACTTGAAATATCACAATAATATATATATATATATATATATATATATATATATATATATATATATATATATATATATATATATATATAACCGCCAACACAAGGTAAAGTACCGTTTTTCTTCTCAATATTTGTTGTTTGTTGTTTACGAGACCTAAGATAGGTCAAAACCGTGTATTTATGACCGGCGCCGGCTATCCCATCGTTTGTTGATAAGTCGACCCGCTTCAAAAGAAAATCAGAAGCTGATGTACGGTAGATTTTATTATGGAGTGATCTAACAAAGTTATCATTGAACAATTAAATTTATCATTGTAAAACAATCAAACTTCTAAAATGCTTACCACCAATATGATGGTGTACAACAGACTTAACCCTCAATACTCAGCGTCGAAATGGTCCCACTACATTTTGGGGTAAGGCGAGTGCATTTATTAAAAAGCAAATATTTACTAATTTCACAGGAACTTGGGGTGCCAACCGTTGTCTCTTTTCTAATCGTCAATATCGATTTTCCGATTCTCTTTGCTGACGTAATCCAGCAAAAAGTGTCATTGCACGAGTTGACTGAAGCCGCCTTTAAGCCGGTATCAGATAGCTCGTGGAAACGCGCACTTCGCTGGTTCAGGTCGGCAAAGAGGAACAGAAAATATATACAGTGAAAAGAAGAGATACCATGGTAGGCACTCCATGTTAGCGTAAAATTAATAAATATTTACTTTTGATAATAACCCCAATGAAGTGTGTCCCTCGAGATCAGGATTTAGGTTAGTTTTTTTCCACCAGTGATGCCGGTAAGAATTTTAGTAAATTGGGTAATTTATACAATGATACAAATTCCAACACAACTTCGTTATACCACTTCATAGTAAAATTACCACGACACTGACCGTACCCGTCTCGAATCATGTCAGAAGGTTTGATCGGATAAGTACGTGCTATCCGTCAGCTTGCAGATTTCTTCGAACCGTGTAATTTTAACAACAAACAACGGGAGTGGAAGCACTGGCCATAAATAGACAGCTTTGTACTATCCCAGGGTCGTAAACGACAAATTTTGTCGGTAAAAACGGTATTCCACGTTGGGTTGGTTCATGTTTTTATATTTTGTCCTTTTCTATTATGTATTTTCTCTTTCTGTTTGCCAATGAACAACGCCACCCCATATTCTGTCAGATCGCACCTTTACACGAAAAAATAATTATACGCTTTTCGTTTCCCTTTTTATTTCAACTAAATGACTTCTTTTTTATTAACCTGTTACTACAAGTAAATACAAATTTGTCAAAAATAGAAATAGTATTAGGGAATTTTTATTTATAAATCATTTATTGTGTCAAAGATATCTTTTCAAATATAAACATTTTCTTTTAAATTTTGTTTTCTCAAATTAATTTTTTTTTTAGGTTTTGCCCACCACATAGAAAAGTACTAGAATACATATAAGCAGATATCTATAATTAAAAATTTGATGGAACTTAAGGACACTGTGATAATGGATTTAACTGAGCCGATAAATAGTATGGATAATAAGACAGACTTTTTTGATTTTGTTGAACATTCAGATTCAGAAAACTCATTTTTAAAGAATGTAGAAGACAGAAAAGAAAATAACAATAATACTATGATCGTTACGGAGTTACCAGATAATTTAAATGAAAATTTTCAGCCCGCTTTTTGGAATATAAAGGATACCGTTAAAATAGAAACAGCTTTACTAGAGGATTTAAATAAATATTGCTGGATGTCAACTGCAAATGAAGTTGAGTCAATTGGCCAAGAAAAAAGTAACGCTGATGAACAAATATATACTCTAACAGTATTAAACGGAGTAGACCAAAGCGCCACATGGTACCGTTTGCCGAAAGAGGACGAGTCTCTTTCAAGTCCCAACTCCATGGAACAATATCAAGTAGGAATTGATATGGATTCAATATTGAGTGTGATACCAAATGGTCAATTAAATTATAACAACATAATAACCAATGCCACTACTACGAATACAGATGGTCTTATAAAATCCGAAACTTTTACTTATGATGATAATAAAAGTGAAATAACTAATTCATTTATCGTAGATAGTCCTATGTTAGAAATAACAGATACTCTTGAAAATGATAATACCGATTGGAAAATGTCTGATCATGATAATAACAATAATAAAGAGTCTCCAGACTCACTTTTAAGAAGTGCTCTTCAAGGAAAAGCATATATTCGGTATAACGGCACTTTTAAACCAATCCAACGAAAATTTCCAGACAGTGAAAATGCAGAACTAAAAAAAGTACTTTCAAATTCTCCAACGAATGCTTCTACAATATATACCAATGATGAAGACGAAGATAGAATTCCTACAATTGTGGCTGGAATAGATGTTAACGGTAAAATAATTTTCGAGGAACATATTGTAAATAAAGTTATTAAAGAATCCAATAGTTCCGCAAATACTAGTAACGTAGATGATCTTTTGCTCAGTCAGCTGGATCATTCATATCCAGAGGATTTTGAAAAGTTGAAAAAAATCGAACACGAAGTCGCAGAGTCTGTCCATCAGTATTGTCAATTCGATCATTCCGGCGAAAGTAGCACTACTCCAGTTAATGGTGAACAAATAGGACTATCCTACATAAATCCACAAATACAAACTGTCATGCCAAGAAGTACAAATGTAAAACCTAATAAGAAATATAAAAGACAAAGTGGCGGTAGTAAAACAAACACAAATTTACAAAACGCGACACCAACACCAGCAGCAGCCGCAGCAACAACAAATGTAGTTAGAAAAGAAAGATCACTACATTACTGCAATATATGTTCTAAAGGATTTAAAGATAAATATTCTGTTAATGTACATATTAGAACACATACTGGAGAAAAGCCATTTGCTTGTAGCTTATGTGGTAAAAGTTTTAGACAAAAAGCACATCTGGCCAAGCATTATCAAACGCATATAACACAAAAAAATGCTATGGTAACAGGTAATGTTATTTCCGTAAAAGGTAAATCCAGGTAGTTTAAAAAACAATTATAATAAAATAAATACATTTCATCTTTAATAACATTTCAAGTGGGTGTAAAAAGAATAGAACCAAAATAATTTAACGATATCCTCAAAAATTAATAATTTATCTCTTTTTTAAATGTTGTATGCACATATTAAATGCATAACAATGTATCCCAATTTTTTTATATATAAGTAATAAGTCACAACATTTTTTCTGAATTTACTAGTTCTAAAAAACAGTATTCACAAGTTAATTGTTAAGGTTGATTTGAAGAGTAAGCTTAGTTATTTACTGTACTTTAGTAACGATAATATAATTTAATGAATAATTCTTTTTCGAAATGTTAAGTGAGTGTTAAAGTGAAATGCTTGTTTTATACTATGTGTTTTTAAAAGGTTTTCGCTTTTGAGCGTCATAATTATTTTTGCTTAATCTTAATCTTACTTCTTTGGGTGCCGATTCTAACAAAGGTTGGTAATGACTTCTGCAAATTTATCTCTATCCTGTACTTTTCTTATTGGGGTTTGAAGGTCTAGTTCAGTACAATCCTTAATGTAACGCAACAAGGTCATGTGGCGTTTACCAGGACCATGCTTTCTTTCTATTTTTCCTTCCATTCTCTTCTTTTTATGTAGACATGACTCTGTCTAGTTTCAATGTGCCTCCAGTAAGTTTTCGTTTCATTGGCGAGAGAACCGTCTCTCGCCATCATTACTGCTCTATTTGTTATCATTAGGCCTATATGATCGCTCCATTATACTCTTCTATGTCAAACCTAGTCCTTGATCTTCTTCACTTTGCATATACATCGTATATCTGTACTTCTAGCTCCGCCCCATAGTGTCTTGTCATCAATTTTTCTAAGAGTTATTATCTCTTCTGTTTTTATATTTTTGTCTTTTTGTCCGCTCCGTGTTAGGTCGTGTTTCTCGTATATTATTATTTGTCTGGTGACTGTTTTGTAAATTTTACTTTCATCTATTTCCCGATATTTTTATTTTTACATATTGTTTCATTCAGATAATTTGCAGCTCTGTTTGCTTGTCTTTTTTTGGGGACACGAACATGTTCAATTTTCTGGCGGTTATATTAAATAAGTGTAACATACTCTGTAAATCATCTTTACTTTGAGGGATTATCTTGCGTCGTTATTGTTTTTCGCCCTATAGTATCCTTTTTAGTTCTTACTTTTATTATCATTTCATCCATGATAAGGTTAAACAATAGAGGACTCAGGAATTTTCTTGTCTTATCCAATTGTCGTCTTTAATTGAGTATTATTTCTTCTTCTATTTTTTACTTTTATTGTATTGTTTTGGTAGACTTTTGTCTGGACTGGACGATTGTTTTAATTATTCCTATAGGTATCTTTCTTGGATATCAACATTTTGTTTTTTGTCTTCCTGATTTGCGAGGCATGCTATTATATTTTATCCTTATTATTCACTCGCATTAACCTTTTCTTCATGTTTTATATATACAATATATATATATATATATATATATATATATATATATATATATATATATATATAGCATATATATATATATATATATATATATATATATATATATATATATATATATATATAAAAGACTGCCGTTTCAATTGTCGCAAAAAAAGAGAAGTATATCTGAAATTTTATAAGGATCATTTGGCTGGTAAGTTAATGTTGGCATTGAGTACTACGAATACGAGTATCTACTGCTTATCTTCCATTAGTTTTTATAACTCACTACCTTAAGTTATGAGTCTATTACTAGCGTATTATGTATTTACTATGGTAGACATAGGGTATGTCTCATTTCTTTATATCTCTTCTTCGAATATCTTTTTACTATTTCATACTTAATAGGCACCTTACTGTCAATCGAGTTGTAAACCTAAAGTATATTTCACGAATTTGCAACTAATTTGGATTAGGGATGAAAGAGTTGTCTAAACGATCCGCTGCACTGAAAAAGTTAATAGGAAATTCTTCTAATATTCGAAGCACTGGCGAAGACAAGCAAAAATACAGTTTTAACTAATAATGTATTTTACATATTTTTACAGAAATATACAATTATTAGTGCAAAAGTAGAAGAAAATTACAAATTCTGTTTTTTCGAAATTGTAGTGGTACCGGGTTTCTCATTATATTTTGCCCCCACTTATTTTCCTTAATTTGGGGAATACAAAAAAAGTTTCAAATAAAATTTGTATTATTTTATCTGTACCGAACAACAATGTAGCAACAGACCAAATTTTGTATACAGGGAGTGCCCAATAAAATGCATCTTAAATATTTCAAATAAGACACCCTGTATTACTTTATAGTTTTGAGTAGCCCTGCATTTCCTGATTACCAATATATAACATTGTGTAGCATTAGTTTTCTTCTATAATGGTATATGGTACTACAAAAGGGTAACCATAGGTGGCTATGCAACTGACGTTTCACAATAAAACAATTATTAATATATTATAAACTGTCAGTCCTCATACCAAAATGGGTTACACTGCAGATGAAAAAGTAGATATATTCTCAATTTATGTAAAAAATAATAAAAACAAGCAAGCGGCCAGAAGAGAATATAGGCTGATTTATCCAGATCGACACACTCCTTCTGCAAATACATTTTTATATAATTATCTGTCATGTCATAAATAAAAAAATTTTTGAACGGAAGAAGCGTATTATCGTAGGAAATGATGATGGAGATCCTAAGACTTTGCTTTATTTTGAAGGTAAACATTAAATACTTAAATAATAGATTAAATCCATAATAACATTTTTATTTTAGAAGAGTTTGGAGCTTAAAAAAAGCACAACTATAAGCCGTAAAAAATATTACCGGTACAAGAACTTACCGATGTTCATAAGAGAAAACGTTTACAGTTCTGTCAAGATATACTTACACATTTGAACAATGATCCTAACTATTTTTATAACATTTTATGGACAGATGAATCAAATTTTTCAACTTCAGGCATTTTTAATAGAAGAAATAGGTATTCGTGGGAACAGAAAAATAATAGAAAAAGAAAAATTAAGCAAATAAAAAAGTCGGGAAGAAAATCAATAAATGTGTGGTACGGAATATTTTAAATAATCAATTTAATGTGTGGATCGGCAATAAGGGTACCATTACATGGCCACCAAATAGTCCCGACTTAACACCATGTGATAGCTTTTTATGGGGGTTTTTACAAGAAAAAGTGTATTTTGATTCAAATAGAAATATTAACACTATCACGACAAAAGTTCGCGCGAAAATTGAAAATTTAAATGGTCATAATAACACAATATCTGACGCATTAGAAAATTTGAGACGAAGATATTAATTGTACATTGATAACAATGGAGGGTACTTTGAGCATCTATTGTAATCTTCAATGTAGTATTGTATCTTAAATGTAGCATTGTAGTATTGTGTAAGTAATTAATTTTGTCGACTTTCTAAATATATTTTTTTCTTATCTTAGTATAGTATAGTAATACCATATGCCATTATAGAACAAAACTAATGCTGCACTATGTTATATACTTGTAATCAGGAAATGCAGGGCTACTAAAAACTATAAAAAAATACAGGGTGTCCCATTTGAAATATTGAAGATGCATTTTATTGGGCACTCCCAGTAGACAAAATTTGGTCTGTTGCTACACTGTTGGTCGGTACAGATAAAATAATACAACTTTTATTTGAAACTTTTTTTGTTATTCCCGAAATTAAGGAAAATAAGTAGGGGGTCAAAATATAATGTGAAACATTGTACATATTTACTGATAAAGTAATAACAATAACACTCAAAATGTTTCTTAATGAGAGAATGAAAACATGTTACCTTACAGTGTAATCAAGAATTAGATCCATACTCATAATTACTCTCCTCGATATCTTCATTAGGGTTGTAAATGATGAATGTGTTAATTGTTTTGATACGATTTTCATGCCTCGATATTCTTCAATTAATTTTTCACATTTCCACACATTTTTTTTTTCAAATTACAGGAGTAGCAGTATTCAATGCTTCTTGTCATGTTTCCAAAACTGCTGCGTGACTGTAACCGTTACGTCCAACATAATTATCGTAGTAAGTTTTGTATATTTCACAAATATATTCAATGGAAGTGAATTCACAATGTTTAGGGGGCAGTCTTAACATCTTATGTCCACAACTATATATAATCTCGTCTACTAAAAATATTTTTGATTTTTCATTCCTTTTGGCTAACTGTACTAATTTTAGCTTAAAACAATGCTACGAAAACGAAATATTCTCATTCGTTAACCATTCTTTTATTTTGTGTACTATTTAGGAATTGTTTGGTTGCTTATATAAATTTTCCGGTTGGTAAAAAGCATGATCCAAAACTATAACAGGTGATTCCAATAAACTTGAAAGCAGCTTTTCTTTCAAATATTTTACAAACATTATCATTTTTATATTATCGTGATAACCAGCCGATTTTAATTTTGACAAAAACACAAGATTCGCTCCATCAATAAACCCATGTTTTCCAATCGCATGCAATGTATTATGTCCATTTCTCTCAGTATCGGTTTGTTTTATGGATTTTACCCTCGTTATGCGTAATCCGTTTCATTCTATCTTTAGCAAAAATCTACGTTTCGTCTAAATAAATACATAAAGCGTGTTCTTTTTTTTTGAATTATTATAATTTCTGAAAAACTCCAACGACTCTTTTGTAAAAGACTCTTTCACACAAGGCTTTTTAAAATGTCTTCCGTTTTGAACCTAAACCCAATCTGTTTCAAAACTCTTCTCATAGACCTACCCTAAAAATTTCGAATGTATTTCTGGCTTTTAATTTTTTAACACCGTCTCTACAGAAACATGTTTTTTGTTTTCACGCATTTTATATGTAATGTCGCGAATTGCAAACTTACAACCTTTAGAAAGATCTTTAGTCTTAGAGTGTAATCTAGGTTTATATGACTGTACTATACTGACTTCAGTTTTGTCTCACTAACACACAATGAATCAGACCTACTTTTATGTATGGATTGAGTGGTCGCAAAGGGCCTCCATTGGCTTTTTGAGCAGTAAAATAAGCGTGCAAATTAAATATTACTTGATTTATATCTAAAACACGTCTCACTATTTTGGCTATGAATACACAAATAAATTATTTGCCTTCAAAAGAAGGTGATACTATGAAAAAGTTATTAGGGTACCATTAATTTACAAACGGTTTGGGAGCATCGCTAAAGTAGGGTATCAATTTCTCCGAGTCGTCAAAAACCAAGTACATGCTACAAGGGATTAAATAAATATCTACGCTTATGTTAATTGAACAAAGCTCACTGATTCATCATCATTCTCATTATTGACTTTATCCCTATGTGGGGTCAGCTTCTCTAATTACATTTCTTTATAAGTTTCTATCTTGGGTCATATCAATAATAATACCGCTTACCGACATGTAATGCCTAAGCGTCTTCTTTTTCTACTACTTCCAAGAACCTGCAAATCGGCAATTCTTCGTATTAGGTGATTAACGTCTCTATTTTGAACATGACCAAACCATCTTAACCTATGCTTTCTCATTGGCAACAATTGGTAATTGTTTCCTAGACTTTTCCTAATATACTCATTCCTAATTTTATCGTTTTTTGTCACTCCACTCATTCATCTAAGTATCATTTCCGTCACATGCATTCGTTGTTCCTTTTTCTCTATTATATGTTTTCTCAAGACCAATGAACACCATTTGAGCGTTTATTTCTTTATACCTGTATTTTTCTATCGACTGCCTTATAATGAAAATTACGTCTGTTGTTTATCTGTCTTGCATAAAGCCAAACTGATTTTCGGATATTTCGGTTTCTTCACGTATCCGTCTATCAATTACTCACTCGTATATTTTTATGGTGTAACTAAGTAGTTTTGTGGCCCTAATGTTTGTACATTGTTGTACATCTTCCTTGTTTTGTAGACAGGTACTAATACACTGCTCCATTCGTCTAGCATTTTTCTAACTTCCATAATTATGTTAAATAGAGCTGTTAACCAATTTGTCCCTGTCTCTCCAAATGCTTTCCGAACTTCCCCAGGAATATCATCTGGTCCAATTGCTTTCCCTTTCTTTATTTTTTGAATTGCTTGAGCCACTTCTTGCTTGTTATTTTGGTTACCATTGCTGTTACTGTCTCCGTTAACTAAACTGGTTGTCTGTCAAATTCTTCATTTAATAACCTATCAAAGTACTTTTTCCATTTTTTTTGACATCCTTTTCGTAAATTTGTATTTTACTATTTTCAACTCGGATACATCTAATCTTATTAACACATTTTGCTTTTTTTGCTCTATGTTTAGCTATTTTATAAATATTGCTTCTTCTTCCCTGGTATCAAGTTTGCATTAGCTCTTGCTACTACCACGTTTGCTTTCTTTTGGCTAACCGTATAGTTTTGAAGATCTGTTTCCGACCAAATTTCTTACCACTGTTTATATAATCTTCTTTTCTCTCTTATTTTTTCTTGAGATTCGTTATACCACCACCAGGTCTACTTATTCTCAAATTTTTTTCCATGTATAGCAATGATACTGGTCATTTTCCTTCAAATTGTAATAGGACTTGCATTTAATACTAACTGTCTCACTAACTATTACCTTGCAGTCCTTACATTTATGTATATATTTTTTTCTTTTCATGAATAATCTATTTTAATCTAATTGATTTTGTCCAGTTTTGCATGTAACAATTTGAGTTTCTCCTAGTCCTCTATGTATTAATAAATAACTTTCTCCTATGATGGAATATCACTCAATATGTTTTCTAATTGATAGAAAGCTTTTCTTTCAGTCTCACCCAGCTCAGCCAACCTATCATCTCAATTTCTAGTGTTACTTTTCCCAACATATTACGAGTTGTATTATTCACCTAGTTGTTTCGCCCATTGTTCTATCCACCTAGTCGCTTGAATTAAAGCAATTTATACTCTCCTTATTTTAAGCGCATCTACTAACTCCACACTCTTACCTGTAAGACTTTCAAGATTCCAAGAACCTATCGTAATTTTTCTAACCTGTAATGGTGTTTCCCCTGAGATAGTTCTCACCCATAAATCCGAACAGAGGCTCATTTTGCTTTTGAAATATTTTACCTCGGGAGATGCCATCATTTCAGTATAATTTTTATTATATTGGAGAAGGTCTTTTGATTATTATTGCCTGAAAAGATTTTCGGACGCTTGATCCCTAAATGCCTTTTCTACCAGCATCATATACTGGATGATTTAGCCAATACACCACCAATGCAACCAAAGTGCAGTAGTACCCCACACCCGGTTACATTTTTCTGTATAGGCCAGGATCCCTACTATAAGGACTGTAAAGACCGCCCTATAAGTCAATGAATTGTTGCCCGTATCCCGCCGCTAGGAGGGTACTTTATTAGGGAACTCAGAGTTCACTGATTAGAACCACATTAAATTCTAGACAATAACTAATCTGATTGTAACAAATATTTTAAAGGTAATAAAATATGTTTCAATGTAGAAAATAAAATAAAAATATATTTCAAAAATTTAAATATTTTCATAACCTTGTTAATTAACATGGAACTGTTTTTAATGTTAAGCAAAAAAGGTAAAACTTCTAGGCAAACAAACATTTCTGCGGAAATGTGCATTGCACTTGAATTATATCAAAAGAATTTACTGTAAGTAATTTCTTATTAATACTGTAAAAAAAAAGATTATAAACGGATTTTTTTTTATTTTGTTTAAATACTTTAGAATTTTGTTTAGAAATTACCTTCTTCAAATTTCCATTACTAATAGAACAATTTACTTACTTGCCTACTTCTATGCTGTATATTAGATTGGACCATTTGCTGTCGAATATTTGGAGATAATCGAAACTAGTGGCAAATTCGTGGAATATATTATACTTGTAAGGCACGACAACAAATGAATTCCTTTAATTAGAAATCAATTTTTGTTAAGAGAATTTTTATAGTCCTTTATATTAAGTACTAGCTGTACTCTCATGTGAAAGCGGTATATGTCTAATCCATGAAAAAATCCTTTTTATATGGAGAATCAGTCCATTCTTTAATTTTGATGAGTTATTTTAGTATTGTTATATGTCCACATTTTGAACCATAGATTGACTAAGAATGTATTCCTATAATACAAATTATTCTGTTTTGAGCAGATTTTAGGATCATAAATCAACCTACTTATACCTTTTTGTAAGCGTAGCAGATTTTATGCTGCCTGTAAAAAATATAGAAATTTTAAATTTTGTGAATGGTAAAAAAGATAAAATGGCAATACGGGAGAGTTAATTAAAAAAGAGATAAGTCATTAATTCTTGTTATATTAAAAGTTTTAAGTTTTATTAAATTAAAATGTTCATATAATATTGTTACAAATTCGATATGCGAACCAATATTATAACTAATTTAAAACATTACTTTTGTTAAAACATATCTGCTTTGTTTGACATATTCTTAAACAATTATTGTTTAA